TGTTTAGACTCAGTCAAATAGCTTGAAATTGAATGCAAATTCGTGATTTTTTTAGTAAAAGATTAAAATATAAATAATTTGGTATTGGTTTTAATATCCTATATTTGTTATTTAATAAATAATGATGAAAAACAAGAGGGTGAACGTGGTGCTCGTTCAATACCAATGGTGGGATGTTGCATAGCAATATCAAGTATCAACCATAAAAGATTAATGTAAAATTTTATAGTATTTTTTTTAAAATACTTTGGCATTATTAAAAGTAGATATAGTTTAACAATACTTAAAGCTTAAGTCTAATAATTAATTCAACATGTTCAATACAGATAACGTTAATTAACATCATTCGCATGTGCTAAATGATTCAAATTGACGTCATATACCTTTTTGTTAAATGCATTATATGGTTAAACTTTAGATTTTCAGTTAATATTTTCTAAAATTATTATTTCATATGTACCTATGAATAAGTAATTTATTGATGTTTTAATTTTCCAATTTTTAAGATTTTATTTTTTAAACCCCTATTTTTCAGCATTACAACAAATATACTCAAGTATGATATCCAACTAACATGTTAAAATATAATTTTTAATAGTTTGGTCTATTTAAAAAAACATTTAAGATACATCATTAAAACATTAAAAATCATGTAATGTTTAATTTAAAAAAACCTTCATGTATTTCATACAGTCATATTTCAATTTACAAAAAGTTTGACATATATTTTATAATTAACAAACTGTACCATCATAATAATATACTAACAAATTTTTAATGTATTATATAAATTATTATTAAAATCCTTTGTACTGACAAGTGGCAATAATTTCATTAACATGGATAACAAAATTTGTTGATCATTATACAGAACAATAACAATTATATCTAGTTTAATAATCTTAAAAGATATCAGTGCACTAAATGTTTTCTCTCTGATCCACATACTACATTAAAATATGTATTCAGCAGACCAACCCTGTATTGTTAACTTAAATATTAAATAAATTGATCTTTATCTAACTCAAAGTAAGAACATCTACATTCCTGTGTTGGATTTTTACGAGAATTCAATTTTTATGCCAGTAATGAATATATAAAACATTATATGTAATATAAAAATGATCATGATGGCTTCAAATTTCATAAAAAATCCTACACATTTACACAGATAATGTTCTTGAATTTAAGTTTATAATAAGTCGTCAAATAACTCTTATACTAAAGCTAACTACATAAGATTAGGTCTGCTGAACTTGGTTGTGCTAGATTCAGAGAGAGAAGACTAATTGAACGCTGACACCCTCTTAAATAATGTTTGAAATAAACCAAAAATAAAAAATAAATGGCAGGATTATAATTATTTTATAACATTTTGAATACTTCCATCAATACAATTTTATTTTATTCTACTAGAAAATATTTAATTGAATTTATTTTTTGTTCACAGGTAGTAAAAATTGTACGAAATTCTGAAACTGCTGGACGTTATATTTCATACAGATTGGTATGCTGAAGCTGAATATTAAAAGCTATTGTAATTTTTTCACTCAAAAAATATTATACTATAATTATAAAATATAAGACATTTTTAATAGGTATATTATCTACATTATTTATTATTGATACTTGGTATGACTTCCCACAAAGATGCCATTGTATAACCATCTGGCAATGTTTCAATTGCTAAACCTATTGTAGAATCATACTGTGGTAGTCCATCTTCTTTACCCGTCTTACTTACACTATATGCAGCTAAAGTATTTGAAACACCTATTATATTCTCGTCTTCAAATTCATCATAGTTTGGGAGTATTGGCGGTGTTAGAGCAGGTTCATTATTTTCTATCTAAAACATATTTAGTATAATTTAATAAATATACAATAAAAATGTTAGTATAAGAAAAAAACCTGATCAGTAGTAACAAAATGTACTCCAAATTCTGGTGCTTGAGCATGAATACGAAACAATGATGATAGCTCCTTAGTAACCGATCGTAATCGGTCCTTAGGATCAATTCGAAATCCAAGTGTAAAGCCTCCACTGTAACCATTTGTTTCTATCACTAACACTTCACCGAATTTGGATTCCCTAATTTTTATCTAGTGCAGAAATATTAATATTACATAAGATTAAATTTTAATTTTTTTAATTAATTTCAACTTACAGAGTTTATATGAATGTATGGAAGCGATATATTGAATGTCTCATTACTTTCTGCATACCACACTAATCGAATATTTGTTATTATAAATGTTCCCAAATTTCCCTGTAATAATTTATTTTAAACAAAAATAAGCAAAACAATAATAACTATGAGTATAAATTAAAAAAAAATTAATGTTTTTATTGATTATAGCTGGTTACTTGTTCACTAGATAAATTCCATACACCATTAACGTCAGAATACATTTTTTCAAACATCAATAGCCTTAAACGCCCATTCTTCAATATTGCTCCCCTAAGTTTTAATTCTCGGTAAAGTCTACTTGAGTTATAAGCTCTAAAACCAAATTGAGCATACAACTTAAAAATACTATACATTGTACATAAATAATTTTGTATTGGCATACTTGAAAACTCCAATAAATGATGTGAAATGCCTTGTATTACCAGGTATCAAATTTGTAAAAACAAATTCATATCTCAATCCATTGTATTTAGCTTGAATATAAATTGCTTCTGTTATTCCTTTTAGTCTCTAAGATATAATAAAGATTTTCCACTTTCATTTTTATAAGCAATTTGCTTTTATGCACATCACCACAATATTATAAAGTATTAAATCACTTACCGAGTTAACAATCCGCGTAGAAACATCCTGTATACAATTGTAACCAATAGCTATATACATTATACATATAAAATAATGTTAATATAATGATTTACATAATATTTATGAGTGTAATCAATTTAATACTATTATGAATACTACTATGTACTTTTTCTCACATAAGCTTATTCTTGCTAAAGTCATTGAATGCCAGATTGCTCTCAAATTTGTAATGACAAGTACACCTTTATCACCACTATTTCCTTTTGTATCTTCAATAAATTCTAAGCGATCTATTATTTTTTCTCCATTTCTCATCTTCAACGCTTTACTAGAATAAAAAATGTTTTCAAATAAAACATCTACATATTTTAAATAATTATACATTTTGAGGTTTATAGTTTTATAAAATTATAGCACACAATATTGTTTATTTAAGATAAATTATCCCAAGAACTTAAAAAATATTAAATTTCACATTCACTTGCAAATAATTAAATACATTTATGAATAAACTTGGGGAAAAAAATGTATGCTTCAACTTATTTAACTATCTACCTATCATATAACATAGTATAATCAATATAGGTAAAACAAATAGTGACTACCTACTTAATACTTAAATCAAATTGAATTTCTTGATCTTCCCATGTCTCGAATAAGTCCATGGTGTTAGTAGCGAGTTGTGTGTGAGGCCAAATTGATAACATTTAATTATTTTGATCATTTATCTTAGACGTATACAATTATTGTTTCTGATGAAAGTTTTTGGTCTTCAATCAAACACTGTTGGCTACAAAAAAAAAAAAATAAAAAAAAAATAGAGCTTTGCACTAATTAATGAGAGTTAACCGTTTGTACATAGCCAGTCGAAGATTAATAGAGCCATAATAATATGCAATCGTTATAATTTATGTTTCATTGCATTATTGTATATAAACCACAAGGTGTAGTGGTGTAGGTCCCTACACGTTGCCAGGCAACGGTTCTTGAACAAAATAGAATTTATGTAAAAAATTTTATTCATAAATTATAATACCTACTTACGCAGAACGTACAATAACAATACGAATGTGTTATCATGTTGGTAAAAAACATCGTAGACTAACTGCTAATTAAACAATTGATTTTCGACAATTCCATCTGATGAATATAACATAAATAATGTTGATATTTGACAAAACATTAACGGTGTACGACAGTCAACGCGTTGATATGCAAGGGATGTTTTATTTGTTCCATATTCAAATAACTCTCAAAATGTTTGGGTTGTTTTTATGATTATTGTTGTTATTAGTTATTAGTTTATTACGAATAAATGGTAAGTTAAATTTAATGTTATAGATTCTGAGCGGAGATATAAATGTGTTGGTGTTCCAAAGAGGTGAATTTTTTTTATAGGTAGGTACACGTTAAAAAAAAAAAATGTTTCGATCTTTCAACATTTCGTGAAAAATTTAACCTAGTGAAAATCCCAACTTTTTTTCAAAGTAATCGGAAAAAAAAAATCTTATATTATAAAACAGAAATTTCAGACTACTTACATTAGTTTTCACCAAACATTACATTCATATTAAAATTTTCTAAACATGATATACATTTTCAAAATATTTTACATTTTTTTGTACTATTTAGATATAAACATTTAAAATGTTCTGCTTTTCTTAGTTTATTTTTAATTTATATATTATAAAATTTTTATTTATCAATAAAAAAAGTTTGATAATTAAATATAAGATTCCTCATAAGTTTTTTCTACAATAATCAAAAAATATCCAAAGTAGGTATTCATCATAAATTTAAAGTTCAATTTTATACAAAATTCATCAAGATAAAAAAAAAAATATGTACTTAAGTTATTTTGAGTTGAAAATTATTAACATTTTTAATTTTAAAACTTAAGGTTTCAAAGCATGATTGGTACAAGATTCTTCATAATTTTTTTTTATTTCCAGTGAAAATAAAAAGTTTAGTATAGATCAAGTCATCACTCATCACGTATATTTGATATGAGTTTTTGTGCAAATGAAGTTTAAATTTTTATATTATTGAAAAA